TGTGCGTCGTTGGAATGAACGAATCATCAGCGCAAGAATCGATTATCAATATTAATAACTTCATTGTTACGTGCCTCCTCCTGAGGTGGCATCCCCCCCTCCCCCTATACCTCTGCCCACTGCTCACCCTCCACTCTACCACCTTATCGTGTGGTTTGCACAGCAACTGTCAAATGTACAGCCCTCCACTTCTGCCACTCCCCTCCGTGTGCCGCTCTTATAGAGCTTCTGAGCAGAGCCTTCCCCAGACTGGGGAATTTACCCCGACCCAGCCCGATAATTAAACCCAACCATCCTGGGAAATTACCCTCCCTAGACTGGGGAATAAACCTCTCCACCTCGCTACATGTATGACCACACACAATAGCAGCTGTTGGGCCACTGTGTAAATGTGTAGAGCAAAACAAAAGACCGAAATACAATACTGTACTTTGTAATGTGTGTTTTTTTTCTCATTCATTTGTCATTGCATCTATTGTGCTGTATAAACTGTGTATTGTAAAACAAAGAAGAGAGATGCCCCGTATAGTCTACTTCTACTCTCGGAGCTGCTGGCGAACGCCGAGGAAGGCCAGCATGGCACATGAGTGTGTGATGTAGCCAGCACCATGCCCGGCCGCCTTTGTCTCTGCAGTGATAATGTTTGACACACTCCACAAGGTAACCGAGTCTTATCTCGGGGGAGGTTTAGGACCGATTAAGATCGCCACGTGCCTACATATGCACAATGCATTTACCGAACTTTGCATAAAATTGTCAATTGCATGGACAACCCTCGTAGATTCATTGGTTGGCCCTCCTCTACACGTCATACTCGGTTAATGAATGCGTGTCAAGGGTCAACACACTAAAAGGTCTCCCCAGTGTCCATTAGCAGATCCCATCAGATAAGGTTGATGCATTTTTCAAGCAAGCAAGAAAACAAAAACCCAGGGTAAACCTGCCCAGCCTATAACCCAAACACCCAGAATGCAGCCGATCTCACCGTATATCAGAAGTCACGCAGGTTTGGGCCTGGATAATGCTCGGGTCGGTGACCACCATGCACAGACAGGTTGTAATTATGCTTTTGTGGTGCTCTGTGGTGGACAGCAAAGGGCAATGCCATTGATGTACAGTTTTTTTGTGCTCCCGTGTCTATTCCCCTAACCGTCGACAACCTACACTGCCCAGTGTAGTGAAGTACGGTAAAATAGCCCCCGGCGACCCGCACACCGTGAAGAGGTCATCATCCGGCAGTGGATTGACAAAACAGCTGTGCATGTAGACGTACAATCCAGCAAAGCCCAGCCAAGCCTTTGCCTTCTAGTCCCTCTCAGTTTGACACTGCAGCAGCAGCCGCAGCAGCAGCAGCACCTGCAGAGTCGTCCGTCATTGCCTGGTTGTTGTGAGCACGGCTTGCGATGGATGAAGCGTCGTGCGAGTTTGCTGTGTGCGGGAATCTTCCGGGTCGCGCGTTCACAAGGCAGCGGACGAGGGTTGTGAGGTGTCCTGGTTCGTTTAAAAGTCGGTGTCGCCGCAGGGCTGCCGTGACCTTTTAAAGGGCTCATCGGGATTGATTCTAGCGCCGTTGGTTGGCGCATACAACGATGAAACCCAATACTGGTGCAGTTCCCACATTGAATGCCTTTGTTTGCTGTCCTCGAACATTATGCGTCAAATAACCGTAAGGCGGCTGTGGGTGGGTTTCGTTTTTGTAAATGGCGTCGTGGAGTGTGTGAACACACTCTTCTTGTTTGGCGCAGAGTCTGGTGGTGTAGCTATCGGGTATGCAGGCGGTGCAACTGCACCGAGGCCCATAGGTCAGAGGGGACCCAGGCTACCGGGGGGGTGGGGTGGAATTGGACATTCCTTGCGCTACGGCCCATGCCAATCACTCCTCCATCAAATGTCGTAGTCAAAGTCTCAATTTGGAATGTTGCGACCACAGAAGTGTAACAATTATCCGTAAAATAAATGACTAATTCCACGTAGTTGATCCCCATCTGCGTTAAATTATTTCCATAGGTATTTAAAATCGGTTTCGATCTCCAGTCAGGTCCCTACAACAATGTGTTTTATTCTATCAGGACAGAGCAGTGTAGTACAGTTTTGCATATGCCACATTTTATAACCATCACTGAAGTCTAATTTCAGGGATGTTCTAGGAAGACTAGAGAACATATGTTTAGCACTAATATTGTCGAGTCTGTCATTTATAACTCAAAACAAATCAGAAATCGTACATTTTCGAATTTATGCTCCCAAAAATTACGACCCCGGTGTTTCACTCCTTTGGCAGGATGGGCGTCAAGTTCTACGTTGCTTCTAGTCTCGTACTCAAATATTTACAAACGTACAATTCCTGTAATCGGTCAACGAAGTCATTCCTCCCATGGGTTGTAACGTTAAAGCCAATAACAAAAAAAAGAATCCCGCTTGCAATATTTATTCATGCTGTAGTTTAAGATCGCAAACTCTCAGGCTGGCAATATAGCACTGTACTCGGCCGATTGACATTACAGATTTTTGAATACATTTTAATCGGTTGTTTTTTTATTGCAGCCCTCTATATTTTAAAACATTTCACCTAAGTACGCGTGATGGCCCTAATCATTACTGCCGTCGTGACAGAAGTGAGCTTTAAACATTCCATAATAGTCACGTTGTACTCCTAGATTACAAGAATACAGTCGTGACAATCAGTGGCGTAGCGTGCTTTTGGCATGGGCCGTGGTGCAAGGAATAAAATGGGGGAGAGGGGGGTGATGTCAGGGGCTGTCCGCTGATCCCTCTCCTATCTCGACACCTGCCCCCCCCCCAGCCTCGCACGGCCCGCGGGCTCCGGGGCGGTTGCACCGCCTACACACTCAGTATCTCCGCCACCCGGGTGGCAACGGGCACGTGCTTCAGGATTTACAACCACGCGTTGTATTTGCGCGGCGGCGACGTGTCTGGGCGGTGATAGTGGGAGGAAGAAAGGGCCGAGTGGTGTGCCGGGTCGCATTGTGCGCCGTGCTGCTTGGCAGCCGCGTGCCGTTATCAGGGGGCGCCCATACACCCAACATCTCCACCTCCCTCCCCCACCGCCCGCCAGCCAGCCTTGCTCTCTGTAGACCTTGCAGTGTCAGAAACAATCGCTGACCCGCACCAGTTTACAGGATGTGTATCGTACTGCATCGTTATCCCTTTTTTTATCTGTGTGGAAAACACATCACGCTGACGGCGCAAAAGACCACTGTTGTAGTCGCCGCGGTGATGTTGGGAGGAGTGCCCGGGCACAACGAGCGACGCAGCCCTCTGCCGGTCGCCCCGCGCCTCGGAAGAGCCTGCGCCATTTAATTTGGCCGCGTTAAATATTAATGCGGGAACCCGCGTCATGAGCTTAGCTTGCGATTTTTTTTTCAACACATGCGAGCGTGACCGTCCTTCATTCACAGCCAAGGCTCACCCTCCCCTCTTCCAACACACACACACCAATCTAAACCTACACTATCTTACCCTGCGTCCCCGGTGTCCCCCCCCCACACACAACCATCGCCACCGAATGTTGTAAGCACTGCGGATACAAGAGGCGTCCGATTCAGCGGCGGTGCCGGGTGCTGAAATGAACAGCGCCCGCCAAGCACCGCGTCTCAAAGCCCCCTGGGGCTTGTGGCAGACATTGCACGCGTACGATTTGCATTTCCCCGAGATGAAGAACACTCACCCCGGTATAAAATACACAGTATTATACTCGGGGTACATAACAGCGCAAAATAAGCGCAACACAGAAACGCGGAAGGAATGCACAATGCAGCATATATATACACATGGTATATATAAAAAAAACGACGCACCACAAACGCACGATGCAGTGCGTTGTAAGAAACAGTACAAAAGCAACGCAGAGATAACGACAACACACGCGACATAACACATACACAGCACCGCACAAATGCAATGTAACACGCGTGCACATTCACCTTGGAGCATTACGCCCATCGTTGGGCTCAAGTCGCAGTCAGGATATCGCGTGTGAATCCTCAAGGTTAAAGTGTGGGTGGATGCGCGGAGGAGCGAGCTCACTCGTCGTGCGGATTGTTGTAAAGAGTGGCGTGTGCATGCCGTTGTTGTAGCCGTGAAGCTACTCCGCTTGGTCTAGTTTCATTGTTTATTTTGCGAGCTGACCACTGCACAACGTGGCCGTATCAGCTGCGTGTGCATCCACTCGCTTGAGGGTCACCCGCCCTCCTCCTTCAACCGCGTGTGTCGACAGCGTAGCCAGATGGGACCCGCACATTCCAATTTCCCTCCTGCACACGGGACAATGCACCCGGGCCGAGGCCGTCCCACGCGCAGCCCCCTCGTCACAACCGATGCCTCGGCCGATCGCTGTCATTGGACGGAACCGTTACATTGATCCAATTTATTCACGAATTGTAAAATAGACGTTGGTTTTCGTGGGGGGGAGGGAGGGGGGGTGTGTGTGTGTGAGCGGTTTAACGGTGTGTAAGTGGAGGGGGCCGTTGGAGGTGGCGGTTATAATATGAACGTTTCCAACTGAAGGACAAAGAGCTTCCTCAACATCGTGGTGCACGGTCACCCCAGCACACGGCGCTGATTGAAAAGCTTCCCCCCCCCCGTACCCCCCTGGATTTAGATATGGCAACAAAGCAATCGCCGCTCCACAAATAACAAAGGGAGGGCCGCATCTGGGAAAGGGGCCACGGCGAGACGAGGCGGTTCGACGGCGGCTGCAACAAACGTGGGCAAGGGGTGGTGGGTGGTGGTGGGTGGTGGTGGTGGGTGGTGGGTGGTGGGTGGTGGTGGGTGGTGGGTGGTGGTGGGTGGTGGTAGTGGTGGTGGGTGGTGGTGGGTGGTGGTGGTGGGGTTCGGGGGACATTTTTCGCAAGCGCTCATGCCCCCGGGATGGGAGATGTCAGTTGTGGTTGCGGAGGGAAGGATCGAGCGAGCGGCGTCTGGTGGTGCCAGTGAGAGAAGCGTGGCTGGGCGGGCAGGAGGGGCGGGCGGTTGACGGGAGTGCTGCGGTGGATGGACATTGGGGTGCGACTCGGAGAATGATTGAACGCTGCCGTCCGGCCGGCTCTGATAAAGGCTCAATCTGCAGTACTGTACAGTGGGCGCGTGCCGGGTATATTTAGCTCGCAAGCCTGGCAGTGCCCGCGTATCGTGAAAGCGCACTACGGCACGCACTGTATACGTAATGCGCTGGCCGCTGCGAGAGTGCGCATAGCGGAGGCTGCTCGGGAGGCGGGATCCTCGGTGTAGGAGGAGGCTGCTGCTGCTGCTGTGTGCGCGCGTCAGTCGGCTCGTGGATGTCACCGCTGTAGACGCTGCACAATAGCGCGTCTCGGAGCGCACGCACGCACGCACGCGCGCGTCATCCATTCATTCATTATTCGTTCAATCCTGTGCTCCCGTTTCATCCCCGGTTCGTACGCGTGATTATGAAGGGCGACTGCGGTGTGGGCAAGAGGATTGGACTTGGCCGCAGCAGCGTGTGAAGGAGGCAAGGGGACGTGGCTTGCAGGATTTTATTAATTACATTCTTATTTTGAGATCGGTGTTCGCACACACATCGGCGAGCAACACACACGCACGCGCGCGCGCACGTGCATACATACACCCACGGTTACACACACACACACGAGCAGACTTAAATACATACAAGAACGTACACATACACGGCGCGCACATCCACACCGCAGGGACACGCTAACACACACGCCCGCACACACACCAGCAAACACACGAACACACACACACGGCCAGACACACACACACACGGGCATACACAAACCGGCAAACACACGAACACATACACACACACTGGCACACAGACACACACAGGCGTTTACTAGACAGGCATACGCGGGCACATACACTCGCGCACACACACACACAGACGGGCACACCATCACACACGTTGCACGACAGTGATTGACGCGCTAAGAGAGACGCATCTCATACGCCACCGGGAGAGTCGCTAGGAAGAGAGAAGAAAGAGGAGGGGAGAGAGGGCGGTGGGTGAAGGGAGCCGCTGAGAAGAGGAGATCAGAGAGAAACAGAAGAAGGGGAGGAGGAGGAGGCATCATGATCGGCGTGTTCCTCCTGGGATGTGCCTTCTTCCCGGGGCTTTTCGTGGCGCTGCGGGGCTGGCTCCAGCAGCAGCTGGGATGCGGACGGGGCGAGGCGGTGATTCTGAGCGCCAGGTGAGGCTGCTGCACACAACATCACCGCAGCCGCTTGGCATTGTCCCCCGGCGAAGTAGAAACACGCTGAAAACGGACCTCCGTTCCGTACCTCCGCGTATCCGTGAATTTAACGTTTTTAGTGCGTCGGAATATTGACCCTTCAGCAGCCATATGAATCGACAGTGTTCGTATAATCAAGCGTGCTTGGTACCGGTATCCACCTTCGATGTGTCATCAGCAGTATCATGGTTGTTAAATGTTGCCGGGTTGCCCAGATGGTATTGGTAGGGGCACTCCATCTTAACTATGGGGGCCCTGTCCTATGCAAGCAAAAAAATGCAGTTAACTGATGTAGTGATCACACGAGCGACTTGTGTATACGTGCAAGGCTCAATTTAACCCGTGTGTGTCTTTGGGGAGCAGTGGCGCAGTGGTTAGCGCACTGCTCGACGAACCCGGCCACCCAAGTTCGATACCTGTTCACGGCCAATACCAGTGACCATTATCTGAACCGGCCCTGGACCTCCCCGAGGTCAACTCAGACTCAAAGGAATACCTGGTGCGATGTGGTAAACATCATCACCGGGGAGGCAAAGGCGGTCGGGCGTGGTGTTAGCCACCCACCCACCTCGCGTGCCGTGCCGGCCTTCGTAGGCGCTCGCTAGCAGCACTTGCCCTAAACAGCCTGTTCAAGGCTGCATGGCGGGTCTTTGTCATTTCGGTCAAATCGAAGCGGCGGAAACCTTCGACGCTTCACGTGGCACCGCTCAGCGGCGGCGAGCGTCTGGGTCGTTGCGCTTACGGGTGGCACGACAGAGGCGCGCGTCGTGGGCAGCGCCCTGCGCTACGAGCCCCGGCGAGCGGAGTTCCATTCCTGCTCGCGGCCAACATCGGCGACGATTGTCCGGACCGGTCTTGGCTCTCTTTTAAGGTCGACTCGGCCTTGACAATTGCCTGACGCGGTGTGTCAATGTCGGTGCCGGGGAGACGAAGACGGGCTGGGAGTCGTGCCGGCGACGCCAACCGCTCGTTTTTCCGGCCTTTCATCGGTACTCGCCGAGAGCACTTGCCCCAAGAGCCTGTGTAGTCTCCAGGGGGAGCTTTGTTGCATGTGAATTGTGGGGAGCGGTGGTGCCGCGGTTAGCGCTACGCTGCGCTCCGAACCCGGCCACCCAAGTTCGATTACCGCTCTCGGCCAACACCGGTGGAGATGATCTGAACCGGTCATGGGCCTCCCCTGGGTCGACTCGGCCTCAAATGAGTACCCGGTGCGGTGTGTGTGTGTGTACAGCGCCACTGACGAGACAAAGGCGGCCGGGCGTGGTGTTGGCCACCCACCCCCTCGTGTATCGTGCCGGCCTTCATAGGTGATAATAGCAATAGTACTTGCCCCTACAGTCTGTTAAGGCTATACTGGGGATTTTTGCGTGTGTATGGATACCAGCCCCCTGTGTGCCTTTGTATGTAATCATGTGCACAAGCGCGCGTGCGTGTGTGTGATAACGCGTGCGTGTGTGTGTGATAACGCGTGCGTGTGTGTGTGTGTGTGCCTGCCCGTGTGTATGTATGTGTCGACCCGTGCGTGCGTGTCTGCGAATGTACACGCGCGCGTGTGTGTGAGGGGTAACACGAGTGTGTATCAGATGACATCACGTGCATGTGTCTTGTTTCATTCGCGCGATACGTCTGATTCATGCCGCGCGCGCTCTTTAAAGTCAAAGGGGCGACTCCGCGGCAACGGAATTACGCACGCGTGCTGTGCTCGCTCGCACGATGTGGAACAAGCGTAGACACGGAAATGAAAGTCTCTTCTCTAATTCACCTCCCCCGCACCCCCAACGATGCCTCTACATCATTGTATATTAAGTGTTGCGACTTGGCATGCTCCCGCGCCCAGCGTACCGACTGTAATTCCGTTACCGCCGAGCTAACGATGTGTACACACACGCAGGCTTGCGGTGTGTTTATGAATTCGTGTTGTGTTGTGTGTGGTGGCGGTGGTGTAGCGGTTAGCGCTACGCTGCGCTACGAACCTGATCGTCCCGGGTTCGATTCCCGCTCACGGCCAACACCCAGTGACGATTATCTGAACCGGTCCTGGGCCTCCCCAAGGTCGACTCGGCCTCAAATGAGTACCTGGTGCGTTGCGTAAACATCGCCACTGGGGAGAGAGACAAAGGCGGCCGGGCGTGGTGTTTTGCCACTCATCCCCTAGTGTGCCGTGCCGGCCTTCATTAGGTGCTCGCTAACAGCGCTTGCCCCAACAGTCTGGCACAGGCTAGACGGGGTATCTTTGTCGGCGACCCGAGTTCAAATCCCCATCACGACCAATAACAGCGGCGAATCTTTGAACCGGTCCTGGGCCTCCCCAAGGTCGACTCGGCCTCAAATGAGTACACTTTGTGCGGTGCGTTAAACATCGCCACCGGGGAGACGAAGGTGGCCAAGCGTTGCCGTGCCGGCCTTGATAGGCGCTCGCTAACGGCACTTGGCCCAGCAGCCTGTTAAAGGCTATACGGGAGACCTTAATCTTCGTTGCACGTGCATGCACTAATCAACTCAAACAACTCGCTGGAGCAGGACAATGGCTGAATTTTTCACTCGATATTTTTTTTCCAGAACGCCGCTCGCCTGGGCTTGCCAGAAGGTGTCATCGACGTACGGCAATAACACTCGAGTGCAAATTTGCGCTGTCTGGAAACAGACTTACTGTCACGCTGTCTGCCAAGCGATTTCATGTAGCCACGCATTTCAACCCGTGCTGCTCACTTGCGAGCTATGATTTGCTCCTCGCCGTCGTGAAGGCGCCGTTTCATTGCCTCGTTGCGCAACCGCTCGCTTAAGGTGTGGACAAAACGGTCGCACTGCGAGCGAATTCGCTGTCCCTGGGACCCCCCACCCCCCCCACTCCTCCTCCGGCTCGTAAACAAGTCGCGCTGATGCCGAGACTGGAAGATGGTCTTGGTCGAGTCACCACAGCCAGCGCGGCTGCTCCTCCACCGGCCCCTCCACCGCGTCTCTGGTTTTTGTAAGGGAGCTCACGGACCTCCCCCCCCCCCCCCCCCTTCCCGAAATAACCACGCGGGGATGAGCGCAGATTACCGCTGCGGGGTAAGCGGCTCAGCGCGAGAGCGCACGTGCCGTGGAGCGAACCCAAGCCCGCAGCTGGCATCAACATCATTATCATGAAAATCATCAACGTCATTATGATCAAAATCATCATCATGAACATCATAATCATCATCATCAACATTATCAACATCGTCATCATAATCATCAACATTATCAACATCATCATCAACATTATCATGAACATCGTCCTCGTCGACGTGATGGGATCTACATCGTGCCGTGGTGGACACTGGGCCGAGCCGAGGTTGTCGAGGGTCGCTGTGTTTTGGCTTATTAGAACAAAGTTACCCAGCACAGGCTTCAGAGGCCCAAAACGTCAAGCGGACATTGATACACAGCACGATCAATGTTGTACATTGACGAGAGTTAACGCGCTTCTGGGATTCAGCGAGGTGACTGTGAGAGCTCGGGGGAAAAAGACGGTGGTGGGAGTAGGGAGTTCTAAGTGGAGCAGTGCGAGGGAAGCAGAGATGTTAACTCCCTCGCCTGGTACACAGGAGGTCGTGGATTCGACCCCGACCCTGACGCCTGCTGTATATTTGGAGTTTGCGTCTCTCTCTCTCTCTCATCATAACGGTGGCTAGGAGATGTTAACTACCTCGCCTGGTATACAGGAGGTCGTTGGTTCAATATCGACCCTGATGCCTGCTGTATATTTGGAATTTGCGTGTCCTCCCCGTGGTCGCGTGTATTTTTCTCTGGGTCCTCCATCAACATTTAGACACATGCGTTTCGGGTATTTCGCTGCTGTAAATTTCCACATGATAAGCCACTTCGTTGAGCTATCATTTGTGGTCAGGTCGCTTCTAGCTCAGTGGGCCTTACCTGGTAAAAAAAATATATAGTTTAGTTTAGTTTTGTACACGAAGCAGAGAGCTGTCGACTCTCGACGCCATTCGATGCACGCAAATCGTTGGTTGGCTCGAGAATCAGAAATCGTTTGCACGACAAACGGTCGAGACACAAGAACAGTTCACAAATTTGGGAAGTCCGGTTCAATTGTGGCTCGCTTGTGAAACGTGTCATTGTTGTGACAGCAAACAAAAAGCTGAAATGCAACGTTCACCCATCGCAGTGTGGATGAAAAGGTCAGTTTCTCTCTTATCAAACTCATCCAAATAATCAGCCTGAGTCCCCTGCTGATGAGACACTGAATGTCGAAACGGGCCCCACAGGTTTGCTTGTGTTGAACCACTGCTGCTGGTCTTCGATTGATGTTATTGCTGTTTTGATGCCTTGCCCAAGCTTATATTTGATCTTGACACATCTGCTCAAATTTATGTACGACTATAATGTATTCTTCCATGCTACATCTATATATATTGGTTGACTTGCTTAACTTCTTTAAGGTCTTACTCTTGTATCATTTTTTATAAATTGTGTATGCAACTTGCTGACCCATCCCTATTGCCCATCTGTGCGAAAGAGCCTTATAGTTAATCAGATTCCTCCAGTCTAAATAAATATTCTGATTATGGACTCTCAGAAAAGCCGTGTGGATGATGGGATGTGAAAAATAAATAATCTATTCATGTAGGGAGACAGATACGGGAAGGAGGTGTATTGTCTGATGATGTATTGTCTCACTTTTCAAGGAGGATGGCATTGTTATTTATATCTGAATAATTTCAGTCCCAATTGGTTGACACATACAACGACCGAGTGCACAAGCAACTCACAATTATACTGATGGTCGCCTTCAAGTGTCTGCTCCGTATATACGGAATCGTGCACGTGTCCACGTACCGAGTTCACGTGGAACACGCACGAGCAGGAGGTTTCTAAGTTTGGCCGCAATATAAAACGATCGTCGGTTCTGGAATCGAAACGTGACCTTCAATTATGCAAATGTATGGAACTGCGAGAGACAGAGAGAAAGAGAGAGA